AAGCTACAGCCTCGTTGAGGAGGGCGGTCCATTCTTCTCAGCCTTGCAAGCTCCGACGGCCATTGGCCAGCTGAAAAAGCTGGTCCTTGTTTTTTTCCTCCATTGGGAATTATTTGTGTATAATTAGGATTTCGTATATGTAACCATGCAAAAGATTAATAATTCTTTAGCTAAATAAATAAATGCATATATACAGGTGATGTGCACCTACATTACAGGATTTGGACACGTATTTCCAGCAGAGTATAAGAAGGAAACCTTCGATACATATACTATCATGAATGAGAGTGGTGGGGGGGGATTACACATTGAAGGTCACAGCACTATGTTTTGTACAGCTCCAGTACATTTGCTGAGCGTATCCTTGGAGAAGGACTGATGGTGGTCTAGATAATTTGTGCTAGAGCTCGAAAATGGATTCTTGAACGTGGTGGTGTCATCACATCCTTCTTGGGGAAAAATTGGCTTCGGTACCTATGACTATATAACTTAGTTAATGTGTCATCAATGCATACAATATCTCTTGTTGAAGCATTAATTTTTCTTTATTTGTTGTAGATACTTGGTGTGGTCGAGTGGTCTGGAAGCACCCAATGCCTCCAGAATTTTGGATTCTTCCTCATTCCTTCCAATGCATCCAGGTTGGTTGCATAACTTTGGATTCAGATTTTAAAAATAATTAACAATTTATTAAATTGTATATAACTTTAATTCTTCAAAAATGGCAGCCAAAATGTGGTGTTACTGCCGCATGGTGTACATGCCAATGTCATATTTATATGGCATAGAAATTTGTTGGCCGATTACACCTCTCATTCTACAATTAAGGGAAAGAGCTCTCATCCAACCTTACAAACAAGTTAATTGGAGGGGAAAGTACGCCATTTGTGCCAAGGTGAGACTATAATTATAAACAATACACATTACATATATGCTTGCTTAATTATAAATATTTATAAAAAGAATATTAATTACAATTGAAAATTGTTGTAATTGCAGGGGATCTTACTATCCCATCCTTTGATGCAAGATTTGATTTGGGACAGTATATATATTCACAGAGCCTTTCTTACCGTTGGCCTTTCAACAAGTTGATAAGAGAGAAAGCACTTCAAGTAACATGAAGAACATTCATTATGAAGATGAGGAATAGTCGATACATCCATTGGATGTGTAGAAAAGGTATGCGATTTATTTAATATGCAATGCATCAACTTTTTATTCTGTACATCCACATTTCTAATTCTCTTCATGAATTATATATATACACAGGTGTTATGCATGTTAGCTTGTTGGGTGGAAGATCCAAAGGGGTTATATTTCAAGAAGCATCTTGCAGGATACCAGAATACATGTGGGGTTGCTGAGATGGAATGAAGATGCAGGCATTAATTATACTATCATCACAATTCAACATATTCTAGCTTTGATTTGCGTTCATAAATGCCCTGCACGCCATTGTTACAATGCAGAGTTTTGGAAGCAGGAGTGGGATCTGGTTTTGCTATTCAAGCTTGCTTGCTAGCAATTCACATGACGAAATAGGACTGTAACTCAAGAGAGAGGACACGAATTATCAAGGATCTCAGGTAATATTAATTTAATAAACCAACAATTAATTCATTGAAAAGTTCCTTGGAGCTAATAATTGTATATGTTACTGGTAAATTAAGGTGAAGGCAACCCTCTGGTGACTTCAAAGGGAATGCATAGACAATATTTCGAAGGGATCTGGATTTCTCGATCAGGTATCAGGATGGCAAAGTTTTGATTGTATGCTGAAGGGTTAAAGGATTTATAAATTTCTTTATCAAACAAGTTAAAATTAGTCTTTATGGTCTTGTATCTCACATAAATACTGTCCCTTTCTTTTATGTTTTTAGTGTTGCTGCTTTTCTCCATGATTGCCACCAGAATCGTTGGTGAGAAAATAGAACCTGAGAGGTTATATGATTTGTTAATATCCTAATCATTACAGGTACGCATATATCCATAAGTTTTCAAAAATATTCTTCATACATATTTTACAAGATCGTTCCTGTATTTACCATTATATCAATAAAAAGGTCAATTGTTGGTTCTCTGCAGAGCAAAAAATGGAGGGTCTAGCCGCCTGGGAGCCAGCTGAGCTCAAGAATGGGTTGGAAGTAAGTTGTTGAACCTACATAATGATTTAAGTGTTCAACTCGATCATTTGAATTTTCCTCTCAATATGTTCACAATTTATACTAATGATGGCAGTGGCTATTAGTTTATGTTCAGCTACTGAATCCCACAGAATTTTTTGACGGACATAGTGATTGAGCGATGAATATGTTGAGTGCACGTCATCGGCTATCCATGCTTTAGTTTGTTTAAGAAGTCATATCCAGGACATAGAAAAAAAAAGAGATTGAAAATTTCATCACAAATGCAGTTGGCTACTTGGAAAAGTCCAACTGGCCTGATGGTCATGGTTTATTAATATTGTTACTTATATCAATCGCAAGGAGTACATTACATAGATTACATATGCATATTTCTTAATATATAGATTTTATCTATAGGTATGGAAATTGGGGAGTTTGCTTCACATATGGTACATGGTTTGCACTGGAGGACTAGCAGCAGCTGGCAAAAAAGACTTACAAAAACATTCAACGGTATTGCGTGAGGGGTTGATTTCTTTTAAATCACAGAGAGACGATGGTTGGTTGGGGAGAGAGAGTTATCGTTCTTGTCAAGAAAAGGTACACTTCTTTACTAATTATGTATTTGTATTTAATTCTAAACGAATTATTAATTCCAACACCAATGAATTAATATATATGTATCCATTCTTCTCTGTGATTTAGAAATACTACCTTCTGAAGAAAAATATCAATTTAGTTCTACTGCGTGGGGCTATGATGAGTTTAATTCACGGTGGACAGGCCAGTTCCGGACAAATCACGAATTAAGAATTTGTATTTATAAATGTTTGCAACATTTGTATTAACTTATTCTCTATGTGCTGTTCTTTGGATTTTAATAGGCGGAAAGAAAGACCAAAGCGAATATTCATCCGTGCAGCTAAAGTTGATACCAATTCTCACAAGAGATGGGATTTTCCCCAAAGGTACACTTTTAAAACCCGTATGTTAAAACAAAGTACTATAAGGAAATGGAAAAACATAGTTGATGCACTTATACTAATTTAAAATATACAATTGAGGAAATGCAGGGATTCATGAAGATGCATGTTACATTACCGCCAGCCTTAGGAACTATTACCCACTGTGGCTCTTGACGAACCAGAAGGAGGGTTCCGTTACCTTCCAAGACTATGTTTGAGAAATCCAATACAGAAGCAAGTTCATTATCAATAATATATTACAAAGTCATAAAATCTTTATACTTTTTTTTTTTCTTTTTTTTTTTTTTTTTTTTTTATATGAATCGGTGTGGTTTATCTGTAATTGTTTGATGTAATGTTGTTCCAGTCCCCAACACCTAAATTATAAACTTTAATTATCCTTTTCAATCTATTAAAACACGTGATCTTTTGTTTCCTATATACTTTCATTGATTACTAATTACATCATTGTTTTCATTTAGATAAAAAAAAATCAAATAAGAAGAACGTTCTAATACGGAGATGCATATGATAAATGTAATACAAAAATATTTGACAACTTTTTTCATTTTTCTTTTTTCAGGTGATTTTAATCCTATGGTACACGCAACTTGCAAATTAAGATTTCTGTACACAATTCTTTAAGATGACTTTGATTAATATATAGGAACAAGTAACAAATGGGTATTATTCAAAGTATTCAATAATTAATGAAGTTTGCAAATAGCATGCAAGATATTGATATTCAGTGGTGAACCCAAGATTTTTGCCAAGGGAGAGCCTCCGCGGCTTGACCATTATTTTCCAAATAACTAGTAAAAACTTAAAAAAATCACCAAACCTTAAGCAAAAAAAATAATACAAAAACAAACAACCTAAAAGGAAAGAATGTAATAACACAATACTTTCTTATTTGAATAAATCTATAAGAAGCAAAATATAGATAATAACTTAAATTTCTTTAATAATTTAAGCAACTAAACAGTGATATTTGAAATGTAGGAAAGTGATGGTTGAAGGGTGAAGAATAACGTCTAATAAAATATAGTTAAAGTTTAATTTGGAAAAACAGGAACATTCTTTGACACAAAACTTAAAACAAACTCACAAAACTTATGTATTTTTCCATCAAATTAGAATAAAAAACTTAAAAAAAAAAAAAACGAAACCAATTGTGACACCTTGAATAATGAAAGCTTCAACAATTTCAGTCTTCAAAAGTTTTAAGAATGAATAGCATAAGAAAGAGAATGAGAGAGTAAATAATTATGAGGATAAAATCATAAAAAGCAAGTGGAACCGTGAAGAAGAGTGGAGAGAGTTTTAAACTTTTAATATGATGTGAGTCTGTAATATATATATTAATAGTAACTTTTTTGTAAATTTAGATATATGTATAATAGTTCTCATTTTTTTAAAATCCGAGGATAGATTTGGGTATATATATTAATAGTAATTTTTTTGTGAGCCTACATATTAACAATTTTTTTTTTTCTTTTTTTAAATTTGAAGGTAGGCCCAAGAGGGGGCTGGGTCCGCTCCCATTGATATTTGATACTATATTTAATTAAAGTAGCACGTTTTTCTAATTTTTCTCTAAATTGGACAACCCATATTTAGATCACAAACAATGTTTTATTGTTGTATAATTTGCAAGGACGCGTGTAAGTCATTGAAAATTTTTCGATCATATTTATACACTTGACAAATACATTTTAATTTCTTCACACTATATTCTTACCGAAAATAATTATATATTTGATTATTAAACTTTATTTGGGGTATACATGTTTAAGTTAATTCATGCGTTTAATTGATTAACTAAATGTATATATTATCATAAGCATTGCACTGTATATATGTTTAAGTAAATGCTGTATACTAAACCATTCAATTCTTTCTTCCCTTCTTCTTCCTCTTTAATTATTCCAATTTCCGCTATTTTCATAGCTCAAAATTTTCAACACCAAAACTTAATTAATATTATCATCTCATCATCAGGTCTCTACATATATCTTATGGGTATTACGTTCATATATATTCTCTAATTAAGTTACTTCTCTTCTGATCTCTAGAGATCAGCTGAGAGAGCACAAGAGTTAATTAAGAAGCATCTAAATATATATATAAATATATATATAATGTGGAAGCTGAAGATTGCAGAGGGTGGCAATGATCCATATCTTTACAGCACAAACAACTTTGTGGGAAGGCAAACATGGGAGTTTGATCCTGAAGCAGGGACTCCCGAGGAGCGAGCTGAGGTTGAAGCTGCTCGTCAAAATTTCTACAAAAACCGGTTTCAGGTCAAGCCCAGTGCCGATCTTCTCTGGCGGATGCAGGTTGGCAATGTTACCCACCATTTTATTTCTATATATATAAGCACCGTGTGTCTCTTTTCCTTCACACAATTTATCTCTATTTTAAGCAAAGTCCCAACTTATTGAATTACTTGCAATACTACTAAAATTGAATGCCAAATTAATTAAATGTTGTTAGAAATTGGAGTAAAAAATAAAATAAAATAAAGAACAACAACATGCGAAGAATATTATACACACATAAACATGATATTGACATAGTTCGGCATAACTTGCTTATATCCACAGATGAGAAAAATCCACTATATATTTACGAATATGATATAAGAGTGTATAACACCATCGACTTATAAGGCGAGAAAAGATTACATAGGCGAACATTCTATTCCTATGGTGTTTAATACCCCTTGTCGTTTCTCTTTATTCATTCTTTCACATAATTTCTCTCATAACAATAAATTAGTTCTAACCCTTATATTTATAAGTATAATAGGACATTCTTTTTTTACTAGAATTCATATTTCAAATCTTAATAGGACTCCCGTTATTTAATTCATTCTCTCATTTTAACTTAAAATAAAATCATAAACCAATTCTTCTTTTCTAATACAATTCAAAGTAAAGGAAAACAAATATTCTCCAATACTAACTTGTAAAATATAAATTGGCCTAAAAGTAAAATTCTCTTAAAAAAATTCATCAACTACTAAAAAAGTGTTTATATTCCAGCAAATATCGTTAGATATACTCAATGCATTCAATGATCCTATAATTGGGAGGGATGGCCATTGAAATTATATTATTCTATTAATTAGCTTCGACTTATTGAATGTTTCTCTTTAGAATAATCGGCTTTATATGATAGTTTAATTAGTTGAACATTTATTAATTCCCCTAGGTAATCTGGAAAGTTATTTAAATGGTGTTTCTAAATGTTGTCCATTGAAATATATCATCTTTTCTTTCTCTTTCTTTTCGTAATAAATATCTCTCAGTTTCTAAATGTTGTTTGTTTTTACAATTGTGTGGAAAATTTAAGTTTCTTAGAGAGAGAAACTTCAAACAAACAATCCCAGCAGTAAAGGTGGAAGATGGAGAAGAAATAACATATGAAACAGCTACGACGTCGTTGAGGAGAGCGGTTCATTTCTTCTCAGCCTTGCAAGCCTCGGACGGCCATTGGCCAGCTGAAAATGCTGGTGCTTTATATTTCCTTCAACCATTGGTGATGTGCACTTACATTACAGGGCATTTGAACAGTGTATTCCCAGCAGAATATCGGAAGGAGATCCTCCGGTACACATACTATCATCAGAATGAAGATGGAGGGTGGGGATTCCATATTGAAGGACACAGCATCATGTTTTGTACAGTGCTTAGCTACATATGCATGCGTATACTTGGAGAAGGACCTGATGGTGGTGAAGATAATGCTTGTGCAAGTGCGAGAAAATGGATTCTTGACCGTGGCGGTGCAACCCACATTCCTTCTTGGGGAAAGACTTGGCTTTCGGTACTTGTCACTTTATATATGAATTTGTCCTTTCATTTTTTTATATATGTCTTATCATATGTAACGATTTCTCTCACTAATTCAAGCTTGGCAAAAAATCAAAAATAAATTTAATATTAATATTACATATACCAAAGTGAGAATTAATATAAAAATCAACTTTAATAAATGAACAATAAATTAGGATGAATGATGTGTTAATAGAAGGATAATGTCACATCATTTTATATGTAATCTTTATACCCCTAATATTATTCAAAATATAAAATTTGAACAGGTGTGGATGTCTTTTTCTTTTTTATATGGCAACAAAAACACCCTCTCACTGTTTATTCGGAATTCATTTGTAAGGATTAACTTAATTTTTTGATTTAAAATGGTGATACAAGTTTCTACTCTTTGATTGTTTATGATCCAATAATTGTGAATTGGAAATTACAAATAGTTAGATATGTTTAAGAAAGTCTCAAAACCTTAAACCTAGTGATTAGAAACTCGACCCTCGTAGTAACCCGGCCAGGCCACCGGGTCACCAGTCGAGCGTTTTGAACGGCGGGTCAAACCAGTGTCTAAAGGTTTGAAATCTAAAAAAATCACCCATAAAAACTACTGTAAGTCCCCATAGGTTGAAATATCGCAAAAACACCCCAAACACCACCATCAGCATCGGCAAATAGGGGTTATTTCTAGCGACAACAACACTCCTCATCACCGTGAAAACACTCCACTCAGCCTCCTGACCAAAACCCATCTCACTCCTCCCCCGTTTGTGTCACCAATTGCCGGCGACAATGGGCTTTATTTTGTGATTTCTGACAACATGTTTTGTAATTTCTAGTCGATTCACTCACCGAAATCCAACGTTGTTTCCACCATTCCACTCACCGGCCATTCTTCTTCTAAAGCCTTGACATTCCAACCTTTAATTGTTTACGGATTGATGTCATAATTTCTAGGGTTTTAAATGAATTGAAAATTTTATAACTCGACCTGGTAAAGGCAGCGAGGGTCACGGTTGAACTGGTTCAATCGACCGGGCCGGGCTAGGTTCATAATCACTGCATTTAAATATTTGTCTAAATGAAACATAGTAACACTTTTATTTCATTGATAAATAAATTTATTCTTGATATCATGTGCATTAATCTTTTCTTTGTTTGTTGTAGATATTTGGTGTATATGAGTGGTCTGGAACCAACCCAATGCCTCCAGAATTTTGGATCCTGCCTTCCTTTCTGCCAGTGCATCCAGGTAAGTTTGCTTAATTAATTCTCTTCCTTGATAGTTGAACCGTGGCAGGGCAGTCCTATATAAGCACTTCGGTTCGCAATATTAATTAATTGTTTATCTATTGAATACATAGCTTTGATTTATAATTAATTCTCCACAAATGCAGCCAAAGTGTGGTGTTATTTCCGTACGGTGTACATGCCAATGTCGTATTTATATGGCAAGAAATTTGTTGCCCCTATTACACCTCTCACTCTACAGTTAAGAGAAGAGCTCTACTGTCAACCTTACAATCAAATTAATTGGAGTCGAGTACGCCATGCATGTGCCAAGGTGAGTTTATAATTTTACAGTACTTAACAATAAATCAATATATATGTTCTGATCTTTTAGTAAATTATAATAATTAATATATATACCATACGAAATTGTTAATGGCAGGAGGATCTTTACCATCCCCATCCTTGGATTCAAGACTTGATTTGGGACAGTCTATATATATTAACTGAGCCTTTACTCACACATTGGCCTTTTAACAAATTGATAAGAGAGAAGGCACTTCAAGTAACAATGGAGCACATTCATTATGAAGATGAGAATAGTCGATATATCACCATGGGATGTGTAGAAAAGGTCGAATTGCAATTCATTAGATATGCATCAAATTTTTATTCTGTACATCCACATTTCTAATTCTCTTCATTGAATTATACAAACACAGGTTTTATGCATGCTAGCTTGCTGGGTGGAAGATCCAAATGGGGATTATTTCAAGAAACATCTGGCTAGAATTCCAGATTACTTATGGGTTGCTGAAGATGGAATGAAGATGCAGGTACTTATTTATCAATTAGTATATATCATCACATTCAATACATTCTAGCTTTGATTTTACATTGATGAATTCATGGCATTGTTACAAATGCAGACTTTTGGAAGCCAGGAGTGGGATACCGGTTTCGCTCTTCAAGCTTTGCTTGCTAGTGATCTCGCTGATGAAATAGGACCTGTACTTAAAAGAGGACACGAATTTATCAAGGCTTCTCAGGTAATTTAACATCTAATAGATGAACCTAAAATTAGTTCCATTGAATTTTCCTTGGATTTGATAACGTAAGAGTTTTTTTTTTGGGGGGGGGGGTAAATTAAGGTGAAGGACAATCCTTCTGGTGACTTCAAGGGAATGTATCGACATATTTCGAGGGGATCGTGGACTTTCTCTGATCAGGATCATGGATGGCAAGTTTCTGATTGTACTGCTGAAGGTTTGAAGGTATTTATAAACTAATTCATAAATTTCTTTATCAAACAAATTAAAGTTATTTCTTTATCGCCCTATATCTCACCATAGATATTGTCCATTTCTTTTATTTTTTAGTGTTGCCTGCTTTTCTCCATGATGCCACCAGAAATCGTTGGCGAGAAAATGGAACCTAAGAGGTTATATGATTCCGTCGATCTCCTGTTAACATTGCAGGTATACATATAGCTAGCAATAATATTGTTAAAAAGCGTCTTCTAATTTTATTTTATTTTTAAATTAATCTTGTGTCTAATATATCATTAAAAGTTCCAATGTTTGACTCACTGCAGAGCAAAAATGGAGGTGTATCAGCCTGGGAGCCAGCCAGAGCCCAACAATGGTTAGAAGTAAGTTGTTAATATGACTGTTTTGTGCACATATATATTGTTATTTTTAATTATATTAGAGTATTCGGCTCGATCATTTGAATTTGTTCTGAATTATAATAATGAGTGGTAGTGACATTTCTAATGTAACTTTGTTCAGCTGCTGAATCCCACAGATCTTTTTGAGGACACAATGATCGAGCATGAGTATGTTGAGTGCACGTCATCGGCTATCAAAGGATTAGTTTTGTTTGAGAAGTTATATCCAGGGCATAGGAAAAAAGAGATTGAACATTTTACTGCAAATGCAGTTCGCTATGTGGAAAAAGTACAATTGCCTGATGGTTCATGGTATAATTTTTTTAATTATGCATTAATTGCAAGTATATGTTATATGTGCATGATATATTATGAATACATATATATATAGGTATGGATGTTGGGGGGTTTGCTTCACATATGGTACATGGTTTGCACTTGGAGGATTAGCAGAAGCAGGCAAGACTTACAACAATTGTCCAGCTATGCGTAAAGGTGTTGATTTTCTTCTTAAATCACAGAGAGACGATGGTGGTTGGGGAGAGAGCTATCGTTCTTGTCCAGAGAAGGTTACACTTTTTTATACTTTATGAATTACGTATTACTTTGTATTTGATTTCTTAATGTGTATTACAACTCCAACTACAATTCAACTAATCGTATGTATCCGTTGCTCTTGGTGATCTAGAAATACATACCTCTTGAAGGAAACAGATCAAATTTGGTTCACACTGCATGGGCTATGATGGGTCTAATTCATGCCGGACAGGTCAGTTTTCATAAAACGTGTAATTAATTATATTTATATGTACATTTTTATATATAACTTACTATATCTCATGTATTATCATACAGGCAGAAAGAGACCCAACTCCTCTCCATCGTGCAGCTGAGGTATTAATCAATTCTCAACTAGATGATGGTGACTTTCCCCAACAGGTACAATACTCATTAAACCAAATTAAGGATGATATGATATATATAACGTTCAGATAAACTTTCATTTCCAAATGTTTTTATTAATTAATTAATTTATAATACAGGAAATTACTGGGGTATTTAATAGGAATTGCATGCTACATTACGGAGCCTATAGGAACATACACCCACTGTGGGCTCTTGCTGAATACCGCAGGCGGGTTCCATTCCCTTCCAGGATTGTTGTTTGAGTAATCAGACTCCACAAAGTTATAATTAATCAATAAATAATTACTAGTAGTAGTCACTATTTCTTTTCTTAATTATATGGTTTGTGCTGTAATAACTGTGGCTTATGTGTAAATGTTCATGTTCCTCACACTAAATGATATAAATGGGGCAGAGAACATACATAGTAATATTCAGATATATCTTTAATTATAATTAATTAGATGACTATTTCTATTGATTTATTAATTAATATAATAATAATAATAATAAACATTATATCATTATAAATACAAATGTGTCCACCTGATTTTGTTGGAACACTTCAACTGAGCGAGAGTTCTATATATAACATACAGACATGCGAATTTATACAATTTTTATGAAAAAAAAAAAAAAAGATTTAAAAACCCTTTTTTTTTGTTTTTTTTTTGTTTTGGGGGGGGTGGGGTTTTATTGGTTAATGAATGAACTATATGTGCTTGATTTTTAGGCCGACCGGCCGGCATTTAACAGTGTCATCAAGGATTTATACCCTTTTCTGTCTTCATATGAGTCCATTAATCAAATTATCAATGCTGTGTCACTTCACCCTAAACAGTAAATGCACAAGTACAATAATTAATTCACTCCATAAAATGGGATTTCCACGCACCTTCAAATTATTGGTATATATTTTTATATATCAATTTGGGCCACCCTCAATAGCTGTGTTACATGCCGAGAAACAACAACCATGAAATGGAATAAACTTGTATACATGTTTCACACTTCCTTTAATTGACACTTTGTTTACCTACTTTTCAGGTCAAGTCAATCCTATTATATGTCTTTTAGCTTACCATTTCTCATTGCTTTTCCTCCTATATATAAATAATCTTTCCATAATCATTTCATCTCATCAACAATTAATTAAAGCTAGCTAGAAGATTCATTTGCTAACCAACATTTCACAAAATTAGCAATGGACCTCTTCTTCCTTTCTGGCTTTGTCCTCTTTACTCTCTTCCTCGCTGTATCTCTTGCTTATCTCTTTCGCAATAAATCCAAATCTTCTTACTCTAACCTTCCTCCGGGCAACATGGGCTTGCCATTCATAGGGGAAAGTCTTGAGTTTCTCAACACTGGCCGAAAGGGTCATCCTGAGAAGTTTATTTATGATAGAATAGCCAAATACTCCTCTCCAATCTTCAAGACTTCAATCCTAGCTGAACCAACCGTTGTCGTTTGTGGTGCTGCTTCAAACAAGTTCTTGTTCTCCAATGAGAACAAGCTTGTCCAAGCCTGGTGGCCCGACTCAGTTAACAAGATTTTCCCTTCATCCACACAAACATCTTCCAAAGAAGAATCCAAGAAGATGAGGAAGATGTTACCAAACTTTCTAAAGCCAGATGCCTTAATGAGATATATCGAAATGATGGATTCAATTGCACAGAGGCATTTTGCGGCTTGTTGGGAAGGGAAAGAACAAGTTGAAGTTTTCCCACTTGCAAAGAGATACACCTTTTGGGTTGCATGCAAAGTTTTCTTAAGCCTGGAGGATCCTGAGCATGTTGCAAAATTTGCTGATCCTTTTAATGTTTTGGCTTCAGGAATCATTTCTCTTCCCGTAGATTTTCCAGGAACTCCATTCAGCCGTGCTATCAAGGCCTCAAATACGATCAGGAAAGAGTTGATAGCTATTATCAAACAAAGGAAGATTGATCTTGCGGAAAACGAAACGTCTCCTAAAGATATACTGTCACATATGTTGCAAGCAACCGATGAGAATGGTGAGCACATGAATGAGTTAGACATGGCCGATAAAATTCTTGGTTTATTGATCGGTGGCCACGACACAGCGAGTGCCGCCATTACTTTCATCATCAAATATCTCTCTGAGCTTCCCCACATATACAATCAAGTCTTAGAGGGTACGTAATTTCTACCATTTCATTCACTTGTTATCTTTTTCATTTTTTTTCCGTAAATCAAGAGACGGTGGCAAAAAATTCCGGAAATCAGTTTTCTTCCAAATGAGATAAAACTGCTACAGTATTATACTTGGGGAGATCGAGTAAACAGCTAGAGTTAGATAATTAGGATAAATTAATTTTAAACCATCTGAGTATTTGACGCTAAAGAGGGAAAAAGAAAAAGCTTCCATATGATATATCCTAGTATTTGACAATAAATATCCAACGAAATTATATTATAAATAGCGAAAAAAGACGGTAACCAGTCTTAGTTTAACCCGGCTTAAATTATTATTTCCCACGAAAATGATCTAATAACACAGCTGGTTCCCACAGTTTCCACCTAAGTTTCTCACTCTCTCACGCACAAACACAACGTCATTTTCATTTGTTCCTCTGATTCCAAGCCTTGTTGACTTCCTATTAGCAATTATCTTTTGTGAAACATATGTATAGAACAAATGGAGATTGCAAAATCGAAAAAGCCAGGGGAGTTTTTGAACTGGGAAGACATTCAGAAAATGAAGTATTCATGGAACGTTGCATGTGAAGCTATGAGACTTGCTCCTCCACTTCAGGGTGCTTTTAGGGAAGCCCTTGATGACTTTGTCTTCAATGGTTTCTCCATTCCTAAGGGCTGGAAGGTCAGTTCAAGCTACAATATTCATATATACATTAACAAATGTCCATGTTATATACATACAAAATTGACAAGATTTTCTGAATGAATTATAATTATTATTTGTAGCTGTATTGGAGCGCAAATTCAACACACAGGAATCCAGAATGTTTCCCAGAGCCCGAAAAATTTGATCCAACAAGATTTGAAGGAAATGGACCAGCTCCATACACGTTTGTTCCATTTGGAGGAGGACCTAGAATGTGCCCTGGAAAAGAATATGCACGTTTGGAGATACTTGTATTCATGCATAATGTGGTGAAAAGGTTTTACTGGGAGAAACTGATTTCTAATGAGAAAATCATTGTGGATCCAATGCCCATGCCAGCTAAAGGCCTTCCCGTTCGCCTTATTCCACACAAACACGTTAATTAATTAGACGACACACAGAGCTTAGCTAGCTATGTCTTAGCCAGCACCAATATCTTTTCTTTATGGTTAAACTTAATTATATAAGAGTGTGTTGTAAGGTTAAACATATAATAAGGCAAATTAAGCTGCTGCTGCTTATGGAACATCAAGATCGAGCACAGCAATTTGCCTTGTCTTTGTTTTCGAATTTCAGCATTGTTTTTTCCCCTTAATTTCTCCTTTCAATAAAATAAACATATTAATTAATTTAAGTTTCTTCATTTGTCATTTGTGGAAACATATAATTAAAGAATTCATTGCCGCTCTCATGGATGCAATTAGTAGTTGAGTTTGAGACATTCAAAGAGGAATATGTCAATAACTAAGCTGTAAAGTAAGGTATAATATAAAGTGGCTAAACGATGGAGTACAAGTTTTTACAAAATCTCATATCGTAACAACAGTTAAAAGTCAATTGAGAAAGAGAGGTTTCTTTTAAAAAAATCAATTGAAAATATATTATAGATTTGACATGATTAATTGAAAGAACAGACATCTAAGCTAATTCACGATTCCAAATTCCAAGACTTGGATTCTTGGGTCACCACCAAACTCTAACCATTCAGCGAATATTAAATTTTTCATTGATCACCGGCTTTCATTATATAAAACTCATCTTATCTTGATGCTTAAATTCTACTTGAAAAAATGAAGTGTATTTTAGATATTAATGATATAAACTTTGGATGAAAAAGTAGTATTTTAAAATTTTTTGGGTGGAAATAAAGCGTCATTAAGGCAAACCTTTGGTGGAAAAAGTCTTTTACTCATGATTTAATCAATCCACCCAAATCAACCATTTGGTCATGTCACTAACTTAAGAAATATTCAGGTTGCCTCCCAAGTTTTGACCAAATTAAAGTAGGTATAGCTATAGTTCCAAGAAAATTCATTTTAACTTTCCACATAATAATAATAAGAGTTCAATATGAAAAGTCAAATACTGTGTTTAGTGTGAGTTTAAAATTTCCATTTTCTTCATAATTTGGTTTGCCAACTACCATTTTGATATGGATGTAAGTGGGATATAAAGTTATCAAGGAGATAGTGCTTTTATTTTTCTAGTATTCCCACTTATCTCATTGTAAAAGTGGTTACAACAGTTAATTACAAATTAAATATGCATATATCTAATAAATTTATGATTAAGTTGTTAATTTTAGTTTTTATTGGGTAAATTTAACTCATGTAATCATAGAATATCGCCTTTTAAAGTTGGGCTTGACCCAATATAAAAGTGAACATTGGGCCAGACCCATTTTTCTAAAAAAATTGACTGATGATGGCCCAAAGACCTTAAGTCCATCATGAACCCTCCCACCCCATGTTTCTGGAAATGGCTAATAACAGTGAGTTCCCATGACCCACTACATTACATTACACTACTTTAAAAATGTTTTATTTAAATATATACTTAATATGACTATATGAGTCTCTACCCTCCTTTGCGATTTATGCTAGAAAAAAAAAAAATATATGTCAAACAAATTTTTTTTTTTTTTTCTTTTTAAGTAAACCTAGTAATTGCCTCTCCGATAACTCGAAGATAAGACTCCATGGATATAAAGAATTCTAATTGCTAAAGGGTTTTTCATCTGACTACGAGAAGAGAAATCCAAATAATTTATTTCTCCATTACTCAATTGTAATTTTCAAGGGTTTAAATTTTGCACTTGAAACAAAAAAATTCAATGGATTATTATGAAAGATAATTCTTTTTTACTCTTGGAACTTACAGTAAAATAAAGTAAATAATTTCTCCCTTCTAGTCAAATGGCAAACCATTTAATCACTAGAGTTAGCTATATTCAAAGGTCTTGTGTTAAATATACAGTTTTAGATGTTTTAAGTTGTTCTGAGATATTTGATGTGAAAGAAATAATCAAATATTCGAAGAACATGTGACAAATGGTGATATAATCACCACATAATGCTATATTAGCATTATTCAAAATATATAATAATTAACAAAGTTTACCGAATAGCATGCAAGATATATATATTGATTTTTGATATTGTATGAAATTAAAGTAGCACATTTATTTAATTTTTTGTATTTTTTTTATTTTTTTTTCTAATTGGGAAATCCTAATCCATGTATAGATCACAAACAATATTTTATTGTTGCATAAATTTTGTAGGCCTCGTTTTATTCATTAAATTTGATGAGTAATTAAGGTCAATTAACTTGAGTGGTGTGGACCGTGTGGTCATTATGAGATTTGGAATTATTTACATCCCATCAACTATTTTTTTGAAAAAAATTTAATACCCAAAATAAATATATATATTGAATTATTAAAATTTGTTAGGGGTAATGTATATATATTTTAGTTAATCCATGCATTTGGTTAATTAAATGTATATATTATCATAAGCATTTCAATTGATTTTTTTGCATTTATAGATTTTAATTAGTTGGATGATTAGTGGTTACAAGTGGGTTTTAATTAAGAATTTAATTATGTGTTAATCTTGTTTACCTTTTTTTCTAGTAATATTTTTCTTCAAAAATACATTAATTAAATTAATACATAATATAGCGAGCTAGGATTCCCAGCAAGGACCTTAAACCTTATTATCAACTTTGGACTGCCGTTGAAATTTCAAACCATATCCACATTTTTAATATGGTCATGGTAAAGATGTGTGATAAACATAATAAAATTTAACTAATTAAAAAGTTTTCGGACATATCGCATTATTTATATATATTTAAAATCAATCAATTAATCAAGAAATATAATACGACAATGATCAGGAATTTTGATTAATTAATTTTGTTATAATAAATGTGAGTTGAACGAAAATTGAACATGTGGTAATTTAAATATTTAAAGCTTAGTCTAAGAAAATTCCTTAATGAAGACTAGTAAGACAAATATTGGTCAACAAACAATTCTAATTTCTAACGTCTGGACTCTTCAATGTCGAGAGGATTTATTCAAATTGATAACTTCTATTGTTTACTCATGAAATCAAACATACACCCATCTTTATATATATATATATATATATAGATATAGGAGATATATATATATAGTATATATATATATATATACTAAAGGTATTCGGACCAGCTTACAGCATCTCAATTAGTCTTTCAAGACCTTAAAATTAAGGTCAAATGAGCCTTCAGTAGATACCTCTATTAGTTGTATAGGGATTCGAATTCAAAACCTTTTAAATAATACACCCAAGAGTCCCCACGGAAAAGTGCCTAGAGATAGTTTATATTTAATATTTGATGCTACGGAATTCATTTATTCTATCAGTCAAATTACCTCTATTCTAAGTTAATTGGACTACCAATTCCTATTTATTAGTCACCTTATAACGTGTAAAACCTTCAACTTGAATATTATACTTATATTATATAATATATATTCAACATTAAAACAATAATTTACTTTCCATAATGTATAGAAATAAAAGAAAAAAAAAATTACATCAAAATTCATGAATTAATTAATTAATCAATCATATGTAATGGATCATGTTTTGATCCACCGATACATGCAACGTTGCCGATACTGGAACGTTGCTTTCCACGGTAACTCGATTTTGAGAAACATTCCTCAGTAAATGGTTGGGGAATGTTCCGTCTCCTTTACCTACATGTAATGTGTATTGTACGTTATTTATAAGGTTAGGAAATAACAGCACCTGAGAGAAATCAGCGGTCCACCTTGTGCCATTGCGCCATACTGTACCTCTAGCAACCGTCGATTTAAGCACCATCCCTCTCACATTGTTCCGATCAACCACCACTTGATCAATGTTACTAAACGGTTCATTTGATTCATCCAATTGGATCATTCGGACCCCTGTGTAATCACCCGTAAACATGTTGTTAACAATGTTCACACAACAGATGTTACCTTTGATTGATTTTAACGTAATGAAGGCATTCCCTAGGAAGAAAGAGTCTGTGATTTGTAGCTGTACCGGATCCTCGGCAACGATACCAGTGTAATCGAGGTAACAGTTTATGATCCGGGTTTGGGTAAAACCCGGTTCCCGGACGTAAATTCCCGTTCCTCCTAATCCAGTAGCTTTGTTATAACAATGCACCCCAGTGAGGGTATTGGCCTGCCCCTGTACCATTACACCGATGGATGCGGAAAAAATAACAACATCGGTGATGACATTGTCATTGCCGTTAATGTTGATTCCGATACCGGAAAAATCCTTTTCGCGGATGTCACCACCGACGTTGATGTATTGACCGATGAAGGAATTGGTGACGATGGTTTCATGACCGTCTTGGATTGAAATGCCATTGGTAGTGAAATGTGAAATGTAACAATTATCAATGGTGGTTCTTAGTGAATTTATAACAGCAACACCACCACCTCTGAAATTGGAGTCTAACATAAGATCTTTGAGAGTGATAAATTCAGATGAAAATGAATTTGAAGATGATTTCAACTCGATCAGATGCCCATTGATCGGAAAATCATCAGAAGCTCGAAGTGTTCCACTGTGTACCTGTTATTTATATGAGAACAATAAATTCACATGCATAATAAAATTTAAACAAAACGTGCACAAAATAATTAATCGATGGGGCGGGATGACAACGTACCATAAAATTAGCACCACCCTCCGGTATCCGCAAGGGACGGCTGATCTTGTAGGTGCCGCCGTCGAGATGAAGCTGAGAGCCGCCGAGGTTGGGAACACCCTTGATCAATTGAGTTGACTGAATAGGAGATCTGAAAGCGTCAAACAAAGCTTGTTCAAGTGCATCGGTGCTGTCACTTACTCCGGTAGGATCGCCTCCATAGTCGGTGGCGTGATGAATACGGGAACCACTTAAACCCTGCATAATTAACGTTGTATAAGTATAATTAGCGTAAATAATTAATTGAAGAAAACGAAATTTAGATGGGAGCGAAAGAATTAATTAAGAACGTACAGGAGGAGTAGAGTAGCTTCGGGAAGGAGGGGCAACTCCATTGCGAAGAACATAAGAAGCTTTGATGGAAGACAATTGGTTGATTTGTTGATGATAATCACTTAAACCAGGATAAGAGCTTTCACCATGTTGAATAAGTTGAATAAACACCATTAACCCAAGAAGAAGCAGAAGGACCTTCTTTACCATCACCAACATAGAATTTCTGGCCGCCATTAAAATAGTTTAAAGAGAAGAGAAGAGAGAGAGGGACACCCGAGAAGCTGGAAGTGATGGTGTTTTCATTTAATAGTAATATCTATATATATATAAGAGAGAGATTAAATTAATGGGAGGTTTGAAAAAAAAGAGAGGGGAGGTAGGTGTAAAATTGTGAATGGAAAACATTTTGGTATTGGAAACTGCATCAAAAGTCATGAAAGAAATTCAAATAAACTGTATCAAAGTTGAAAAAAGAGGAGGGTGTTGTCTCTTTCAATAAGTTATTCAAGTATTGCGAGAAACATATGTCCATTGAATCAGTGGTCATGGGGGTGGGGCGGCTTCTAGGCTCCTGCTCACAATTTGACTCTCGGTAATTGCCTGTTTATGCTTCTATGTTTATTAATTGACTACATTTAAATTTAATTGAAATGAAAACAAAGAACTTTAGTTAAAGATCTAGGTAGTTAAAGGGTTTACGTTTTGTCTTAACTTGGTTGTTATAGTTAGTTGTTACTACAAGTATTTAATAAATTGACAATCCAATAAAACATGTCAACTAAATCCAATGTTTCTCGTTTCAAAAGCAGCAGCAAGAAAATATATGTATAGACGACAAGACAACTCACAACTGGCTGTGATAAGGGGTTTGGTCCATGTGTTAATTGTTCATTGGCATGTATTTTTACATATTGCTAACAGATTTCCATGAGTTTATTGTTTAAATGAATATAATGAAATAACCTCCATTAACATTTGAAAAATAACGTCAAAAACGCAATGTAAAGACTACATCCGACATTCAAGATAGAGAAGATTTTATTGGGTTTAAGAGATCTACAGCAATACAATAATAATAATCCGTCAAAACCATGCAAAGCATGAACCACATCCAACTATAACAAAATCCCTATCATCTGCAAGACCTTCTCTACATCCATCCAATTAAAAGAAGTTTAACTTTATACATGTATATGAGATATACCCGAATTAATGTAATTATTATAGTAAAAGAAAGGAAGAGGATGAGAATGTCTGAATAGGCAAATCAATAAACAACATGTGTGTTTAACCATAAAAATAGTGCATTGATTGGTAGGTGAATTTAACATTGCGTATAAGATATGGTAACAACAATAGTTTAACTACAGTGGCATTAAAAAGTTTAGAAAGGTAAGTAAGACAAAAGTACAGATTTATCAAGTCTTATCATATTAATACTTTTATCACATAAAATAAGAGTATAAAGTGATAATTAAATGATGTAATAACATAAAGTTTTCTGCGTTTAACATTGCTAAAATGTTTAAATCACTCAATCAATTAATATTTTTAATATTATGAGTATGTTTAGTAAGTGTAGATATCCTTCTAAATACCCAATTATTTGATTATCATTATGACCAATACCATCACCATAGGTAATGCTTCAACCTTGCCAAAATATTCACCCATTCTTGTATTTGGTGATTCAACAACTTTGTCCATTCAATATTTCAAAGCAACTTTCCACCATATGGTCGAGATTTCCCAGGTCACATTCCTACAGGAAGGTTTTCCAATGGATAACTCATTCCTACTTTCTATCCAATTTATTTGGCATAAAAGACACAATCCCTCCTTATCTACAACCAAATCTCGCGTACAATAATCTTCTTACTGGAGTTTGTTTCTTGTCTGCCGGCTCAGGATTTGATAATCAAACCACGGCCATACCTAGAGTCCTCACAATGTCAAAACAACTAGACGACTTACAAGGAATATATGACTAAGCTTAATGGGCAGGTGGGTGAAGAAGTTGATAAAAAGTAAATTGGTTAGGCTATGGTTGCCATCAGTGCGGGAACTAATGACTCCACTCTGAACTATTATGATCTACCCACAAGGAGGGGCCAGTTCAACATTATTGAATACCAAGATTTCCTCCAAACAGTTTTCCAAATCTATGTTAGGGTAATTCTGCATAGTTCTGTGTGTCTCTTTTATCTACAACCTAATGCTTAACGTTATCTTTCTTTCTCTCTGTAGGAGGAACTGTACAATCTAGGATGTCAGCCAGAGGATCGTTGCTGGTCTTCCCCAAATAGGTTGTCTTCCAATTCAAATAACAGCGGCGTTTAAAAATCCAAACAAGCACGAGTGTTTGGGTAATCAGAACACAGATGCTCAAGTTTATAATCAAAAGCTTCAGAACCTGTTAACTCAATTACAGGGATCACTTCCAGGAACTAGACTTGCCTATGTAGATGTCTATGAGCCCTTGATAGACATGGTCAACAATCCGCAAAAATATGGTAAGCTAAACTGCCAAAGATTTTTCCCTAATTCTACAAGTCCTTGTAAACTATTATCATGCAGGTTGCCCCCAAGTTTGACCAAATTAAAGTAGGTATAGCTATAGTTCCAAGAAATTCATTTTAACTTTCCACATATAATAATAGAGTTCAATATGAAAAGTCAAATACTGTGTTTAGTGTGAGTTTAAAATTTCCATTTTCTTCAATTTGGTTTGCCAACTACCATTTGATATGGATGTAAGTGGGATATAAAGTTATCAAGGAGATAGTGCTTTTATTTTTCTAGTATTCCCACTTATCTCATTGTAAAAGTGGTGGTACAACAGTTAATTACAAATTAAATATGCATATATCTAATAAATTTATGATTAAGTTGTTAATTTTAGTTTTATTGGGTAAATTTAACTCATGTAATCATGAATATCGCCTTTTAAAGTTGGCTTGACCCAATATAAAAGTGAACATTGGGCCAGACCCATTTTCTAAAAAAATTGACTGATGATTGCCCAAAGACCTTAAGTCCATCATGAACCCTCCCCCCATGTTTCTGGAAATGGCTAATAACAGTGAGTTCCCAGACCCACACATACATTAACTTTAAAAATTTTTATTTATATATACTTATATGTATATGAGTCTCTACCCTCCTTTGCGAGTTATGTTAGAAAAAAAAAAATATATCAAACAAATTTTTTTTTTTTTTTTTTTTAAGTAAACCTAGTAATTGCCTTCCGTAACTCGAAGAAAGACCCTAGGATATAAAAACCTAATTGTAAAGGGGGTTCATTACTCGAGAAAGAAATCCAAATAATTTATTTCTCATTACTCAATTGTAATTTTCAAGGTTAAATTTTGCACTGAAACAAAAAAATTCATGGTATTATGAAAGATAATTCTTTTTATTTTGGAACTTACGTAAAATAAAGTAAATAATTCCTCCCTTTGTCAAATGCAAACCATAATCACTAGAGGTATATTCAAAGGTCTTGTGTTAAATATATAAGTTTAGATTTTTAAGTTGTTTGAGATATTGGTGTGAAAGAAATAATCAAATATCGAAAACAAGTGACAAATGGTGATATAAACCATAATGCTATTTACATATTCAAAATATAATAATTAACAAGTTTACATAAGCATGCAAGATATATATATTGATTTTTGATATTTATGAAATTAAAGTAGCACATTATTTAATTTTTTGTATTTTTTTTTTTTTTTCTAATTGGGAAATCCTAATCCATGTATAGATCACAAACAAATTTATTGTTGCATAAATTTGTAGGCCTCGTTTTATTCATTAAATTTGATGAGTAATTAGGTCAATTAACTTGAGTGGTGTGGACCGTGTGGTCATTATGAGATTTGGAATTATTTACATCCCATAACTATTTTTTTGAAAAAAATTAATACCCAAATAATTATATATTGAATTATTAAAATTTGTTAGGGGGATGTATATATATTTAGTTAATCCAGCATTTGGTTAATTAAATGTATATATTATATAAGCATTTCAATTGATTTTTTTGCATTATAGATTTTAATTAGTTGGATGATTAGTGGTTACAAGTGGTTTTAATTAAGAATTAATTATGTGTTAATTTGTTTACTTTTTTCTAGTAATATTTTTCTCAAAAATACATTAATTAAATTAATACATATATAGCGAGCTAGGTATCCCAGCAAGGACCTTATTTCAACTTTGGACTGCCGTTGAAATTTCAAACCATACCATTTTAATATGGTCATGGTAAAGATGTGGTAAAAAATAATTTTAACTAATTAAAAAGTTTTCGTGAAATGATTTCACTTATTTATATTTAAAATAATCAATAATCAAGAAATATAATACGACAATGATCAGGAATTTCGATTAATAATGTTATAATAATGTGAGTTGAACGAAAATTGAACATTTAAATATAAAGTTGTTTAAGAAATTCCTTAATGAAGACTAGTAAAAAAAATATTGGTCAACAAACAATTCTAACGTCTGGATCTTCACATGTCGAGAGGATATTTCAAATTGATAACTTCTTTGTTTACTCATGAAATCAAACATACACCCTCTCTCTATTCTCTCTCTCTATATAATATTATATATATTATATATATATATATATATATAATATATATATATAAAGGTATTCGACCAGTACACGCATCTCAATTAGTTTTCAAGACCTTAAAATTAAAGGTCAAATAGCCTCAGTGATACCTCTATAGTAGTTATGGGATTCGAACTCAAACTTTTAAATAATACATCAAGATCCCACGAAAGCGCCTAGAGTAGTTTATATTATATTGATGCTACGAATTCATTATATCTTAGTCAAATTACCTCTATTCAAGTTAATTGGACTACCCATTCCTATTTATAGTACCTTATAACGTGTAAAACCTTCAACTTGAATATTATACTTATATATATAATAATATTCAACATTAAAACAATAATTTATTTCCATATATAGAAATAAAGAAAAAAAATTACACAAAATTCATGAATTAATTAATTAATCAATCATATGTAATGGATCAGTTTTGATCCACCGATACATGCAACGTTGCCGATACTGGAACGTTGCTTCCACGTAACTCGATTTGAGAAACATTCTCAGTAAATGGTTGGGATGTTTCCGTCTCCTTACCTACATGTAATGTGTATTGTACTATTATAAGGTAGGAATAACAGCACCTGAGAGAAATCAGCGGTCCACCTGTGCCATTGCCCCACTTACCTCTAGCAACCGTCGATTTAAGCACCATCCTCTCACATTGTTCC